TATTTGATTCAATTTGATTTGATTCGATCAAATTCAAATTGATTCAAATTGATTCAATCAAATATTTGAGTTCAATTCGATTCGATTCGATTCAATTTAAAAAAATCAAATCAAATTCAAATTGCTTAAATATTCGATTTGATTCGATTTTGAGGAACCCTACTGAATATTACTTCTAAATATTACTTCTAAATATTATTTCTAAATATTACTTCTGAATATTCCTTTAATTTTATTCTGACATAATTTCTCCAAATTCTTTTACAACTTTAATTCTTTCTATTGTTTTATTATTACATTTGAGTCTTTTATTCCTTCTTTTATTATTTCTTCTTTTATTTTTATCTTCACTATATTTTTATAACTTTCTTTCTGAGTTTTATTCCTTCATTACTTCATTAACGTCTTTCTAAAATTAAAGTTTATATACAAGCAAAATTACTTTATTTATTTTCATAATTTAATTGTTCAACAATTAATTATTTCAAACAAAAGTATTCATTGTTATTTGTGTTAAAAGTTTGTTTATTAAAATTATTTTTTTTTATTCCTTGGAAAATTGAACATGTGGTATTTGAAGATATTCAAGGTGTTTATATACTAAATTTACATAGTAAAGTGATGAATAATAACTACAGTCAGGGGTTTTACCAAAATTGGGAGTATCAATCATTCCTTTTATGGTATAAAAATTGCCGATCAGAAAATTCTAGAATTTATTATACAATTTTATTTGATATATTGCAGTACTATTGTGCTGCATATATGTTTAACTTTTTATTTTTTTTTTTATCAAAATGCTATTACAAAAAAACTTCTATACTCCTGAATGTTAAGTATAATCAAAGTTATCAGGTTTATTATCTGAAGTTAATAAAGACCTTACCACTTCTAATATAATTAATAATTCACTACGTTTTTTAGACTTTATTCCACTATATTTTTTTCGAATACTGTCACTTACCTGTTCAAGAAAAGCTTTGATCTTGCAAATAATTTCTGCTTTAGTCATATTTGCTTCATCATTTTGTACAATTTCCTCTTATTTAGTGATTGGAATTGATCTAAATAAAAAAGCTTGATTATTTTTATAAAAAACATTAATAATATATTTCTGTCAAGCTTGTTTTGCTATATTAGTAAAATTTGTCAACTGTGCACTTAATTTATATTCTCTTCCAAAGTTCTTACAAACGGTTCTTGAATCCATCAGATTAACAAAATTTTCTTTTCTTAGATAGGCTCGAAATCTCTGACATTCCGTAATTAGTTCTGGCTGGTTCCTTGGATCAACCGTTTGAGAATCATTATATCCAATCAAGTTGAAAAAAAATTTTTGTAACTAAATTTCCATAAATGATAAATTAACTAATTTGTAATAATAATAATCATAGATACAATAATTGCAGTACCTGAAAAAATTTTTTACAGTTCCGTGCAGCGATTTTCCAATTACGCATTTGTGGAACGGGAGGTATCAATGTTTTTAGAGTTCTATTTATTTCTTCTAGAATTGATTCCATCTCTTAATGCTGGTTAAAAAGTCCTGACCGAGAAATTACGCAGTTTTTTTCTATAATACTTTGTATAGTTAGATCAAGTTGCATAAGTTGTACTTCATCCGCAACTTCTATTAAACGATATATCGGATGGCATCATGCTGACCATACCGATGAAAAAGCTCTTTTTGCAGCTCTTTTTAGTAATGGATTATTTTCCTAATGGCTGTTCTATAATTAATAATGGCTTGTAAATATCCAAATACCTATTTAATAAATTAATAATTAATATAGCATTTAGTAATAATAGTTAGTAACTGAATCAATATTTTAATAAAAACTTAACAATTCCACCTATTCAAATTTTATTTGGTAAAGCGGATCCTTTTGTTCTTTTGCCCAAGCCAAATATTCTTCTACTGATGGATTAGAATGATTTTTAATATATGGCCACATCAGTTCTATAGCCATTGCTTGACAATAAATATTGCAAATAGAATCCCAAGACTTATGATGGTCATGACACTTCTTGAAATAAGCGAGTTGGCTTTCGGTTTTATATCCTTGGCATATTGCAAATTGTTTAATATCAATATCCCTTTTTTTTAAATGTTAAATTATTAGAAAATTATATAAGAATATAGAATTCAAATATAACATAAACTTACCAATTTAATTCCACATATGCCCGAAGCATATTCATTTCTTCATGTAATTGCCCAGAAATGAGAATTAGCCATGGATATTTATCCTTCATTTTGGCTATGCGATGATACGGAATACCATCACAAGTTACAACAACCCATTTTCGTATTCCGTCTTTAATCCCCGATATTTTTTCAATATGAAGAAGAACTTTTTCAATGTTTGCAGTCGAATTGGGGTTAACATTAAGAGGGTCAGAAACAAAGATTTCTGAAATATTAATGCCTTGGTCAGCAGATAACTTTTGAGTAATGCTAATTCGTGTTGTAGTAGGTGGATCAATTTCCTTTTCGATATTATAAGGTTTATAAATGGTTGATCGCTCTATTGTGTCATTTTTTGATTCAACAATGTATTGTTCTAGTAATTCCGCCAACGTAGGTAGACGACTTTTGCACTTTAGACAAATTTGTTTTTGGTTATCGATATTTTGCTCTTGACAGCCAGGACATCGTTTGTTGCGTTTATTATTTGATCCTATATTTTCCACAAGAGAATCAATGTTATTAGTCATTAATAATTTTCTTCACATAGCAAAGCAAGAATTTCTAAAAGGTAAGCATGTAATTCTTTATCTATCGCTTCTTGCATTTCAGATGTAATATTGAAAAAGTCTTCATATTGTTTCCTGTCAAGAGAACTAGATATCCAAGAAGTGTTAGTATATTGAATGTAATTTTGCGATTCTATATTAAAAGCAACGAAACTAGTAACAGTATGAAATATCACTGTATTGAGTCCTCGATCAAGATAATTTTTTGTCCTCTTTGCTTATTATCAAATGCCAAAAATAAAAGTCCTTCGGGTAGAGGTTCTTTTCTTTCAGACAATTCATTAAGCCAACTTTGAAAGCGAGAATAACTGCATGAACTTGTGATATGATTGTCAATATTGATAATGGTTTTTGATCGTGCAATAGAATACTTAATAGCTGAGGCTGCAAGATTTATTTCTAATACGTATTTTCCGTGTCTAGACCCATATATTAAATCGACTGTCATAGCCTTTTTATAAAGCTTTTCAGTGTTCAAGAAGTCTGTGTTATTATTGTTATGAACTAATGTTTCAATGAACTTAACAACAACTTGGTTACGTTTACTTAGCCATGTTTGTGGAGTATAGCTCAATAAATTTTCTAATGAAAACCTATTATTATCTCTGATTAAGGATTCAATATCCTCATATATAGACTCTCATTCAATTGATGCAATATCGATAACTGCTTGTATACACTTATGTTGGTCACCATATCGAGAATTCCACTGTTCAATAAGAACCTCATTCTTTTCACATTATTCTTCATATAAATTGTGAATCCGAGTCATATCATTGTAAGCCTTTTGCAACTGTTCCTCTAATTCCTCTATTTTGTTTTTTTGGTCTTCTATATATTGTTGCATTCGTAGAAGTTGATTATTGAGGTCCATTATTGATTACGATTTCTGTTGAACTTCCAGTTGATTAATTTCAAGAAGCCTCTTAACCTCATCGAGCTCAATAATTGAGTCAGACTTATTAATGGAAATGATTACATCTTTATCAGCATTGAAGTGTAACCTTTTATTTTCTTGAACAGATACTACAAGATGTTGGTAAAACTGATTTGTGACAATGATTTGATTGTAATGCTTCTCATAAATTGAATAAGATTGTAAAGAATGATAAAGGTTAGAAAGTTCAGTAAGATAGTCATAGTAAAGGGCAAGTCGCTTAACTGTTTCTTGGTTACTAGCATGCTGCTATTTTTGTGATTCCTTTGTCTCACACGATCTTAATCCAATGTCACTGTATTTTTCAACCAACTCTGCAAAGAGGCATAGAAGGTCTTTTGCTTTTGGTTTCAGATAGGTAGACACTATAAAAAGAAGGATATTTAAAAATTTTAGCTTGGTTAATAAAATTGAATTTTATTTCACTTTATATGACAAATCCTAAATTTTAAGATCCCATTTACTTTTTCAAAAAGAGTTTTCTAGGAGGGATTATTTGTGATTATGAAAACTAGACGTCTTTTAGCGACTATTCATACAATTTTTAGCAATGAACAAATATGATGAAAATTTACAAAGTAAAAAGTATATGAAAGTAGATAAGAGTCAATCAAATTTCTGTAGATCATTCTAGAATCGATTTCCATTTTAGTAAAACCCCTGACTGAAATGAAATGCTAGACACTCTTGTTATTTTTATCGGGCTTCCATACAGCAGTTTTTATCATTCCATTAAGGTCTATCTGTGAAATATCATTTATGATCTCTTTGAGCATGTCTTTTACAATCTGATGTAAGGTACGTGAATTATCCACCTTCATAGATTCATTCATGACCTTCTTACATACCTCACGAAAGTGTTTAGACTGCCTCCGCTTTACAATCTCAACTCTTTGAATGAAAAGCTTATTATTAAAGTTAGGCTCTCTTCTATGTGGTATGCCATAGTATTTTTTCTTTTCAGTAAATATTACTGGAAATAAGACTTCCTCATACGCTATTTTGAGATAAGATGATCCATTATCATTTCTGAGAAAGTCATTAACTTTATCACGAAGTCTTTCTATTACTTGCATAGAGATATTCACCATTCTAGACTAATATTCTTCTTTTGAGATCCCATTACCATTGTCATATACCTCATCACATTTCTGTCTGAAAGCATTCTTCTGGACAGACAAGGTATAAGGAATCTGTATCCCCATATTTTACACTGAACCTTTTACTTCTGACAAGATCGGCAATAAGCTTGATATTTCGCTGACCAGCTGATGTTACCCTGCCTGCTAATGCTCATAAGAAAAAAGGGGATCCGCCATTTCCAGCTTCACTGTAAAACATATTCATATACACTTTTAAAGCGAGTGATTTTGCATCTAGACAGGCGTCAATTAAAAAAACTGAAGAGTATTCAGATTATAAAGCATTTGTAACATTCTCGTCCCTTGCTTCTACCAAACTAATTTTCTTTTCTAATTCTTCTTTTCTATTATTTAATGGAGCAAGACATCTTTTTAGAGAATTTGTTTAATAAGCAACTCCTCTAATACTTTTGGATAAAGGTCTTTCATTTCAGCTTAGTTTCTATGCTCTATAGACTATACGAGAACATCCTGACCATTGTATTTGAAATTAATTTCATGAAGCCTTTTACTACTTTTCTTTAGAGATTCAGCACGCTCTCAAGATAAAAAGACTTTATCAAGTGAGAGATTATATGTCATGATAAGGCTTGGATATAATGATGCAAAGTCTAAACCAGTTACAGGTTGTTTATTTTTGAGACTCTTTACCAGTAGGAAAACATAGGCTCCAGGGTATTTTTCTGTTTCCGTTTGTTCACATGGAATTGTACTGGTTAAAATTTCTTCCTGCCATGCACTAGCACTTAAAAGATTATGCACTTTCATTCCTATTGCAAATAATGCGTATCGAATAATGATATAAATGCTATACTTGCAACCTCCCTATATTCATTGATTATATTACGCTTGACTATTAACCGCTGACAGCTAAAAGTATTGATAATGCAGTATTTGGCCACTTCACGCATCTGCTTAGCCGTTGTGGTATTAGTTTCTTTTAATGTCCTTTCATAATATTTGTTCATACAATGAATAGGTAAATCTACTTTGTTGTCAAGATTACACTCCCTTAAGTAATATAAGAGACTACTTTTTTTGGCTTTAGGGTAGAATTTCTTAAAATAGGGTCAGACATCAATAGCCACGCATCCAGGAATTTTAAGATGTCTCGAATAGAAGTTCCCATTATTTACTTTTATCATGTTATATTGATATTGCCATTTTGTAATCTTTTCGAGGCTCATAGGTTTTAGTGACATATGAT